ATAGGGTTTATGGGGCTTCTAGGGTTCATACGGCTTATCGGGTTTATAGGGTTTAGGAAACAAGACCAGGAACAAAACCCTAAACCCTAACCCCAAGGCAGTGCTGTAGACGACTCTATGCAACTCGGGATGAGGTTCGCCGGGTGTACTGCTCACGGTTCGAACTGCCCCGCATACTCCCCGGAACCATGGAACCCATATCCTCCCAAACCCTCAACCCCCTAGCCTTAGGCCTGAGACCTCCTCTACCCCCGAAATCTCTACATCCCGAATGCATCTCATAGCAAAAGCCTTGAAGCTTTAACCTTCCGTAATAAACAAGGCCGGGTAACTTCCGGCGACAAGGCGTCGCCCTCCTTCTCTGGATCCTCCGCGAGCGTTTGGGGCGGCGGCCAAAAAAAGCCCCGAGGCACTATCTGTTTGTAAGAGCGCTGATCCTAGGATCATGGCTTCATGAGTGTTCGACAGCACGACTGACCCAAAGTCTTTTGCATCTCAAACTGACGTAAGCCACGGGGCCCCACTCTAGACGAACACGACTGACCTTCCCGGGCTGGAACATGGATAAAATCCCCCCCACCATCATTGTACACGACATCCAGAAGCCGAGAGCATGGAACAAATCGAACATGTTAGACAAGCCTGGCGCCTTCAACCTGACTAACTAAAGGACGAATAGCTGCAATAGCTTTACCCTTACAGCGCTTAGACCCCCTCAGACCTCCGCAAAGGGCTCCGCGGCGGATTCAGGGAACGGCTCTAATCCTCAGAGGCTGCCGGAAGGCTCTTGGGAGGGTTGGGGTGACTTTATGTGGTGAGTTTGAGAGTGAGAGGGTTTTCTACAAGGTCCTTTGAATAACAGGCTTTCGTTTCTTAGAGTTTCCGGGGTTCAGCCGTTTCAGGGTCTTGAGGTTTGGGCACCCGACTTTAGGGCATGAGTTTGGTTGTAGTTGAGCAGAACTACTCACTTTCCAGGATGGACCCGACGTAAACATCGAATCCTCAACACTAGAGAGCAGCCGGGACCAACACCCTAAACCCGAAGACATCCCAACTCAACCCACTCAACCCGGAACTCCAAAACCTAAACGTTCAGTCTCCGCTCTCTAAACCCGAGCCGTGAGTTGTTAAAAACACCCCAAAACCCCCCATCCCTAAGGCCAAGACTTCGCAGGTCGTTCTTTGGGCCCCGGGCGCAGCGGCGCCGGAGGTCCTGACGGAATCTCCTCCTGCGGATTTCCACAAAAGTCTTTTAAGGGTGGCTCCTTTTCATGGGAGTCTAGTTGTGAAGCGCGTGTAAGATGTTCACATCTTTCAGAACTTTCAAATCCTTTTGCGAGCGTTCAATTGCATTTTGGGTCCGGACTTGCTGCTGTGGTCCGATCTTGGACAGGGTTCTCCTAGCAAATCAAGCTGATTCGCAACCATTCAACTTTGTTCAGCATCATTGTCACAACCAGGATTCCCTGAGCTTGGTTACTATTCTGGACACTTACTCAGTGACTTAGTACAGTGCGGTCGTCTCGCCCCCCTTGAATCATGCATGGTCTACTCCTGACGAAGCAGATTCAGCTTGACATTTCCAGCCCGAAAGCCCCAACACCTCCACCCAAAATCCCCCCAGAGCACCGACCCTACACCAAGGGCCCCTAAAGCCCCTAAGACCCTTAAAACCCCTAAAGCCCCACAGCAGGTCAGCCCCCCCGCAAGCGCAAAAACCGGCCTCCGACTTCGGCAGCTGCAAGAAGATGGGCACGCGCGGGTGGGCCTCTGACGAGGAGCTGCTGGGCTTCGAAGGGCATCAGAAAGGGCAAGATTTGATGAAGGTTCTATGTGGGGAAGTATTGGAGTTTTGGGGCCTTTTTTGGGATTTGGAGTCTTTTTGGTTTCGGGCTGATTGGGGTTGAGGCCTGTAGGGTTTGGATGCGAATGATGCGCAATCTTGGGCTTCCCAGAAGGTATTGGATCGGCTTGTCTACGACTCCCTGGTTTGCAGGGCTTCAGACTTATACACCCCAAACTTCCAGAACTGCTAAGGCCCGATGGCCTCAAGGGACAGCGGCGCCATAGCCTCCAGCCGTCGGAAGCAGCGACGTCCCATGAGCACAGGCCTCGGAACAAGGAGTCGATCCTGGTTTCGGGGGCTTGGGGTCTAGCATGAACACCAAGGTCCCTAAGCCCTAAGCGACAAGCTCAAGCCACCCTTACTCACTCGTAAACCCAGAAGCCCTGCGGCTTTACCTCGAGTTGGCGGCCCCAAAACACAGTAGGGCTTAGATGGATAGAGTTTGAATTGAGAGGTATAGGTGAGTTTTTGGGCATAGGCTTGGGTTTGGGGTCGGGTTGACTCGTGTGACCGCCCTGCCAAGGATCAAGGAATCAAGGAGCTTTAAGAACTCCTTATCCCCAAGCCCTAAATCCCAAACCCTAAACCTTGAACCCTAAACCCTAAACCCTACTACCCTGAAGCCCTAAACCCTGAAACCCTAACCCCCAAACCCTGAACCCTAAAACCCTAAACCCTGAAACCCTAAACCCCAAACCTCCTGAACCCTAAACCCTAACCGGCCCTGATCTCCCAACCCTAGAGTCCCTAGAGGTTCCCCAGAGCATACCGGGACGGCTGAGGATGCTGGCCCCAGCACTCGGTGCGTGGAGTCCAAGGCAGGCTGCGCGGCAAGGGTCAGCGCTAACCTTTGGGTTGTCGGCTAGGCCTTTTGGGTTTCAAAGGTCTGGAGGGTGCAAGGCTTTTGCTTATTAGGGTTTAGGGTTTAGGCCTTTTGGGTTTCAAAGGTCTGGGGGGTTTCAGGCTTTTGCTTTAGGAGCGTGGGGTTCAAGGGATTGAGGCTTTGAGTTTTAGACATGTAGGTTCGGGGCTGGAAGTTTCAGGAGTTTAGGGCTTTAGATTTTGGAGCTAAGGATGCTACGTTTCAAGGCTGTCAGGATTTGGAGCCCAGGTGTGGGGCTTTAAGTGGCAGGGTGAGGCCTAAACCCTGAGCCCTAAACTGCGGTAGGATTTAGCGATTTAAGTTTCCGTGCTCTCAGCTCTACAATCACCAGGAACTGGTTCTTCCAGGATTCTTGCCTCCATGAAAGGGTTGAATGTAGGGGCCGTAACGGTTAGAATAGGGTTGTGGGGTATACAATACAATACGACTACTACTACTATTACTATTACTACTACTACTACTACTACTACTCCTACTCCTCCTACTCATAATAATAATAATTATAATAAAAATAAAAATAATAATAACAATAATAATAATAATAACAATAATGAGAATAATAATAAGGAGGAACCCCCAAGATAGTCTAGGTAATCTTTAAGGCCCCCAGATTAATTTGGTTTCCAGTCCAAGGCCATCCGCTTGGAGACCGCTCAGTCGCGAGCGTCCCACGTCCACAACGCCGGAGCTGCTCGGAGCTCTCCAGGGCCAAGTCTGCAAAGAAAGTTGCCTAACATTCTAAGCCCAAAACCCTACCAAACCTATGCCCAAAATCCTAAGCTCCTAAACCCTAAAAACCCTACGCCCAAAACACCAAAAACCCTATGCGCTAAGCCCAACACCCTAAACTCTAAGCCCAAAACCCTAAACCGTAGGATGCGGCGTCATGCCTTCCAACCATGCCACAGACACAGCTTTTTCCCGAAGCTTTTTCGGGCAGGGTCGTGTCCGATGCCCGGATTGAAAGGACCCCAAGGCGATGGGAATCAGAAGCCTAAACCCTAAACCCTAGACCCTAAACCCTAAAACGTAGGAGAAGAGCGGCCCGGACGGAGCTCCGGCGCTCAGACACGAAGCTTCAGACTTTACAGAGCTTCGATCTTTTTCATATAGGGGTTTGGACAGTTTCGGTGCTAGGGCACGAAGTTTCAGGGGTGGTCCTGGAGCTTAGGCTTTAGGGCTTTAAGCTTGCGGGTTCAACAATCTCAGATTTTGGGTTGGGTCTTAAGCTTTACTGTAGGGTTTTTTAACGCTTCAGAGAATTGCGGTGAGGGCTTTGAGTTTCAGGGGGTCCAGTCTCTAGAGCTTAGGCTTTAGAGCCTTCGGATTCAACGTGATCGGGTTGTAGAGTTTAGAGCTTAGGGCCTTGCATTCAGGTTCCAGGAGTTGGGGTCTAGGGTTTAGGGTTTCGAACTGTGATGTTATTCAGGTTTTCGGTGTTTAAAGGCTCAGGGTTCAGAATTTAAGCTCTTGAGTTTCAAGGTGTCAAGGTACAGTTTCCCAGGCCCCCGCGAGGATCTAGCAAGTGGACCCCCTGATTTGGGACCATATGCTAAAACTGCAGCCCTAAACCCACCCTACCACCTTAATTAAACCCTAAACCCTAAAACAGCCTAAAACCCTAAAACCCTAAAGCCCTAAACCCTAAAACCTTAAACCCTAAACCCTACAAGTACAGGCTATCTTACAGCCTTGGGGGATCTACCTTCGGATCCTCCCAGGAGGCTGGATTTAAGTTTTGTGCACATTAAGCAGGGTTGGGGTTTAGGGGAGCAAGGCGTTAAGCTTCAGGAAGGGAAAGGAGCTAGAACTGAAGGTGTGCGGGCTTTAAGTTTCAAGGGTTTGGCCAGCTAAGGTTCAGGTTTTAGAGCGTAAGGTGTAGTTTTTTGGGGGGGTTAATTTTCAGAGCTTTTAGGTTGTACTTCGATTTTTGGGACTTTGAAGCCTTTGGTGTTTCATAAATTCCAGGGTTCTGGGCCTTGAGACTTTAAGGCTTGCTACCTTAGGTGTCAGGCTGTTAAGGTTGCAGAGTTCAGGGATTGGGGGCTCGAAGTTTCAGTGCTTCAGGACTGCGGAGTCTAGATAGAGCTCACAGCTTAGATTTTAGAGATGTGTCGGAGGTGAACACTAATGACCATCTACCAGGGTACTGTGTCATGACCATCTACCAGGGTACTGTGTCATGGTGTACCTTAAACCCTAAAGTCCTAAAGCCCTAAAGCCCGAGCCCGAAAAGAGGGTTCTCGAGCTTGAGCTCTGCGTGTCGGCGTGTTTTCGGTGTTCTGCGGCTTCTTGGCTTGGGGATTAGGGTTTAGGGTTTGGGGGTTTAGGGTTTAGGGCTGCCTTGAAAGCTCTGGATTGTCGAGCTTGCCAAGACTTAGCTACCAAAGCCTACTTTTTCCTAAGTCCCTAAGTATTATAGGGTTTATTTTATAGTAAGAACCTATTTTATAGTAAGAACCTACAAAAAACTAGGTTGCGATTGCTTTCGGTACAGAGGGATCTGCATCCTGATAACCCTAAACCCTAAACCCTAGAGAAGGCACATGGGAGTTTCCGAAAATTAGGGGTCCCTTATTTTGGGGTCCTTATAGTAAGGATCCTACTATTTAGGGTACTATATTAGGGTCCCCTATTTTCGGAAACCCCCAGATCCGAGGACGCCCTGGTCGCGAGTCTTCGGGCCTGGCTGGAGCCTCTCCCGGCTTTAGAGTGAAGTCTGTCAGTGGTTCACAGCTGCCACAGCCAAAAACCCTCAACCCTTTAACATCCTTTAGCCTTTGAGTGTAGTTACAAACCGTCAACCCTTCGAAAAAGCCCTCTGAGTGCGAAACCCCCCGCCGCTCCGGGGCGCTGTCAGAAGCCCTGCCTCAGCGTCCAAAATCGCAGTAGTCGGCTCTATGAGGCTTGAGGGTTTTAGAAGGGCTTTTGGGTTTAAAGGTTTTGTCGGGGTTTTACGCGCGTTTCGCCAGGCACTTTGGGACTATGGTGGTTTAGGGATGAAGTTAATGTTAGGGGTTTAAGGTTAGGGACTGGAGTTCAGGGTTTGGGGTTGAGGTAGTTTCGGAGCAGACAAGAACACGGGCATAGAGACATCTATACCACATGCTGTAGCATACCTTGTTAGAATATATGATTCTGCACATTTCGGGAATTATGTTTTCGAAGCCATCCTGAGTTGGGAAGCCGGTGCCTCCAAGCTGGCGCAGGCACCAACTATGGCAATCGCGATTTCCAGCAAAACAGGGAAGTCGGCAGGGACACTCGCAACCAGCAACACAGCACAGGAAATAAGAAGCCAGCAGTCAAGGGTGCATAATCGGCCATCCGACTCAAGTAAACATGCTACACAAGAATATGGCATCCTGCTATACATCATCGCAAAAAATAATAAACAAGCAGGCCCTGAAGCCAAACACGTTGACTCCAACAAGAACCCCAAATCCTAGACTTGACATCTGGTAAGTCATACCGTCGAGCCCCCAAACCGTAAGATCCGAAACCGTAAACTCAGCCCAAAGGCAACGCATCAAAAAATTCAGGCTCGGTGCTGAATTCATCCCGTCTAAGTGGGAGAGTTGTATCTGAATCCGTAGTAGGGTTCGGGGTTTAGGCCAAGGCCCGGATTTAGCAACTCTTAGCGCGTCTGGGCGGGTTCGTATGTGGGGCCCAGCCACCAGACTGAGGGTTTTCAGCCCTCACAAGGCAGCTTGGATGTGATGATAGGAACCCTGTCTTGGCGCTGCCGCGTGCGATGCAGGCAGTTGCAACATTGTTGCAACACAGCATGTCGTGAAAAACCGCCACCTGTAGACATCGAGCCTTACACGGTCTTGGCGATGTTAGGTATCTAGGGCTTCGGGTTCAGGGTGCTGTGCAAGGTCCCGGCCCAGGGCCCACGAATGTCTCATGCAAGATGGGCCCTGAACCCTAAACCACTCCATCGAAAACCGGGTCCGCTGGACCCTGAATCCCTAAACCGAGGGGCACAGGAGTGAAGCCCGGCCGAAAGGAATCCGTTCGCAGCTGCAGGTGTCTCCTGCAAGCAATTCGCAATGCTTAAATTATGGATGGGGGGGGACTTCAGGGATTATAGGCTCTAGAAAAGCCGAAGCTTAAACCTTCACCAATGCAAGGCCCTGGGAAGTTGCCACGAACATAAATCGAAGCTGCCTCTGGCGCCGACACGGGCAGCAGCCCTGCAGCCATCTCGGGAGGGGCACCTGCCGGAGTGTTTCTACGTCATGGCGTTTCTACTTCCTGATGTTGTCATCATCACCACAACAACAGCTACAACAACTGCTACTACTGCTACTAAACCGTCCCTTCGTTCCAAGTCAGACGAAGTCGAGATCTCTTTCAAAGGGTTCATGAAGCAAGGGATTCAGGTTCACAGTTCGTTTGGCGTTTCATTCAGGCTTTTTGGGATATACTTTGGGCTGAGGTTCCGGTGGAGGTTTCTCGGGCTGCGTAGGGCCAGGTCCAGGGTTCAATGTGTTGAGTGCAAGCTGCACGCGAATCTTTTCAGTTGTGCCTGCAGTAATCATCCATGACGAGCAATCTTTGTGCACGGGGGCATTTTGACAACAGGGCCGTGACATCTAATTGAGCCCTTGGTGCGAGACACTGTAGTAGTGTGACGCTCGGGGTCTCAGGCACAGGCTTGCGTGTTCCATATGAAACTTGAGCTGCCGCTTTCGACACTTGTGGCTGGTTTTACTCCCTGTGTCGCGGGCTCGGAGCGTGGTCATACGTCGGCTTGGAACGTACTGGCTCCCACGGTGGCTTCTCCCCAGCACGGAGCGAAGCATAAGTGTATGACTGATTGAAGACGACCGTAATCGTCTCTCCATCGCTGAGGCCATGTTCCTTTACCGTGCTCTTTATGTCCAGAAGCTCTTCTCCGTCACGGATAAGCCTCACATAACCGCTAGTCATAGACAGGGCACATTTGACTCTCATCTTGACATCAGAGATGCGGTCCCGGAGACTGACACGACAGGAAGTCGATCGTCCCGACGGCTGAAGCAGGTGGAGGGTGATTACCTCGTCCTTTTCATCGCTGAGAGGAGGGGTCTCCTCCTCCTTCTCCTTCTCTGCAAACCAGGACCAGCGAAAGAACAGCTCCTCCACCTGCTCCTCTGTCAGAACATTCATCGGGTTGCCGTCCGGAGAAGACTCGAGCCCAATCAGCACTGCGCGCAGCATGGTGTACTGAACAAGGTCTAAGACGCCTAAATATAGAACTGGCCTCAGCTCCAAACGTGGCAAGCAAGTCCACCAATTTTACAGGGGTGTCTCCAACCGATTTATAGAACATGAGCTCATGGTGCAGGATTTGAACGTAGGCTTTATGCGTGATGTTGGTCCGTAACACTGAAGAGAACTTTCGCTGGGCTGCTTCGGCCTTCTGCTGTATGAAATGGGTGCGATGGCTCCTACAGGAGCCTTCGTATCATTAGAACCGATCGACGTGTCACACTTGCCTGACAGACGTTCTACATGCCCAGGAATATCTAGCACATCGCTCCGGGCTCCGTGGCCGTCTCAAATCAAAGTGCATGAAGACAAACACCCCAGAATATTCAATCACCGAGCAAAGTTCGTCTCAAACATGAAACCTCCGCATAATTGCTGTTCTACATGAACTTCAACCTGTGCTTGTTCAGGGCTTAGGGTTCAGGCTTTTCCGGTTTACCCGACGCCCTAAACCCCAAACCCGCGGCACTTGCTTGGCGCCACTTCAAGAGTGTCGCTGTTGCTTGACAAGCAACAACACCTAACACAAACACTCTGGAAGTTTGATCTCCAGCCCATGCTTCCTCTTCTTCAGGGGTTTAAAGTTTGGGAGACCGAAACCCTAAACCGATTAGGGCGCGTCCTGATTCTGATCGCCGTTGTTGGTCTTCTGCTACAATTGCCTATGGCACTACTATATTATATTATATTATACTATATTATATTATACTATATTATAAATATATTACCAGTCTTTAGGTCCTGCCCTGCGGTGATGCAGAAAGGCGATGCTGTGGCCTCTTTTCATGGTGCTACAACGCTTGAGACTTTTAGGTTCCATGCTTTCGACTACGAACTGAACACGGGACCTGAGCAACATATCAGATACGATAGGGATCGGAATAGTCTTGTAATATTCATCTTACCATTACGGTCATGATGATTACCATTACGATTACTGATGTAGTTTTACTAGTACTCCCTTCTAGCATGTTAATCGATCCCCAAACTCCTAGGCCCTGAAGCTTAAACACCCATCGAACACAGGACTTTCAAAGAACAGCGGGATCTGTGCGCAGAGCCCTAGATCCTGGTTTAGAGGCCCCGGAAAAAAGATGTAGAAACCTGACCAATAGAATCTGTATCCTTGCAAAAAGCACCGAATCCCTTGTTGAAGCCTGGTTCTACTCCCCTCCTAAACCCGAAGTTTCAGAAAAGAACCCAAACATCTGCGAGGCTCTCCTTTGAATGTCCGTCCGGTTCAGTAGATTGCAGAAGGCGAAAGGTTTTCGGCAGAGGGAGTAATTCGGAGGTGTTTCTTGAGCGTCTCTTTCCAACTTGGGGTTTTGGGTAGCTTCGGGTTTGGGGCCATGTAGTGGCGATGGCCCAGAGAAAATTTCAAGGGAAGAGCCCGAAAAACGACTCGTCACACCTCTGATCTTGAGCTGGAGGTTTAGGGGTTGAGGGATCTCAAATCGTTCGATTTCTTAAACATCTAGTGCGCGGTCAACTCCAATCTCAAACCGTCTAGGGTAGAGTGCATGTTTGCATCTAACCCTTACAATGACAAGCTACCGCCTTGGCCCCTGATCTAAACCACACGGCTGTAATGCTGCAGTATCATATGGGGGCCTTTATGGGGTTTAGGGCCAAGGGGTTTTGCGGGAAATTCTAGAATTGTATTGAGGAAACCCCAAACCCTGTTCTAATTATTAAGGCCCCTACACTACCATGCTCTATTAAACTTTGGCTACTTTATGAAATCGTGGCTGGGCTTGGGAGACCAAGTGTCCCAGCCTTTATATGGCAAACCGGAGGGAGAGATGGCTTGGGGTTTCGGGTGTGTATCAAATACAGACGAATCAATGAATAAAGAAGTGAAGAGGTGGATTCTTGAAGAGCTGATTCAACAGCAAGAGAATACATGCACACAGATAGGAATAACAACCTATGGGATGCCACAAACTTTCAGAAGTGCGGCGGTTCCAGTTCCATACACTGGGGCTTTGCCACCAGAAAATCTTTGTTGTGTTGTGTGGAACAGGCAGTTAGGTTCACATGGCGTGGGGTTTAGGGTTCGGGATTTAAGGACTTGGCTTCCAGCTTAGGGGGTTCCCGAAGTTCCCCAAAACCCTAGACCCTAAACCCCTAAATTCTAAATTCCAAAGCCCTGAGTCCCCAAACCCTAAACCCCATAACTCACCAGGTCTATCTTTGAAGCTTTCGGGTGAGAAGTGAAGGCTCCGAGGTTGAAAAGCTCCTTGATTTGCTTCGCAGGTCGGACCGTCCAAGGTTCTTGCCAGCCACCTTTTTCATATAGGGTTTAGGGTTTAGGGTTAAGGTTTGTACTTGTCTGCAATGAGGGTAAGCCATGTAGGGTTTAGGGTTTAGGGTTAAGGTTTGTACTTGTCTGCAATGAGGGTAAGCCATGTAAGACATGCTTTCTGACTTTTTTCGTGCAGTGGCCACGCTCTTGAGCTTTGGGACTAGCTTGGTGTGTGGCTGCGGAGTCGGGCCAAAGCCCTTCGCCGTGAAAACTCCGAGAGCTAGCGGTAGGGCTCCCAGTAGCCACCGCCGCCTTTTCGCTTTCCTTTGCCTTTCCTGAGCCAGCAGGGATTGCTTTTCAGGGCTTGAGCCTCAAACCCCACGGGTTCTATGCCTAAAGCATCATGGCGTTCTGCGGTTGACTCATTGACAGCCACTTTTTGGGAGCGCTCGGTATTCGAATTCTCGCACAGGTCGGAAGTAGCTTGACGGTAACGTACTCTTGGACGGTTAAAGGCCAGAGCTGTCGCACGTTTCAAGCCATGTAGATGCAAATGTAGCACTTGCATAGCACAACGCCCGGCTCCAACGCGACCCAAGGGAAACGTCCTGCTGAAGTGGCTGTTGAGGAAAAGTTTTATTCCTGAACCGCTTACACACCGGAACCCCAAACTGAAAACCCCAAAGGCCGCGGACAACTCTAATGTGCTTTCAACTGCGGATCACCAAACCTATAGCCCTCAAACTCAAACCCAGGAGGTTCCGGCATCTGCTGTTGACTTTAGGGGGTTCGCTTCTGAGAGCTAGATCATGCGGCTGCCAGGCAAGCACTAAAAGGTGCATCTCTGGTATATGATGCTTGCCAGAGATCCCTTTGTAGCCCTTGTCGAACCAGTCGTCGGCTTGCTGCCAGTCATTCCAGCTGCCCTTCCCCTGTGCAAGGAGGCAAGTCTCACCGCCCAGTTCCCCTCCCTTCCTCCCTCCCTCTCTCCCTCCCTGCTACCAGCACCATCATCTCATGACCACTACTACTTCACCAACTACGACGACGAGGCTCTCACCACAGCGCTGATAAGACACACAGAGATCGTCGCAAAGCCAACATCACAGTTTTGACATTGCTGTAACTGCAACAGCGGCTACTACGACGAATGCCAGATAATGCCAGTATGGGTACGACGGCAAATGTATCGAAGGAGTGCTGCCGAGTACTGGCGAGACACAAACAGACCGTGAGCTGGAACCAACAATTTGTTGCGGCGGCCACAACAGCAGCTGGCGCCTTGTTTCCCTTCTTTCCCTGGCCTAGGCTCGGCATGCGTGGCGCTTCCGATCGCGCCGGGTGGGGGCGTGGGTTGGAGGAGGGGGGGGTACATAAGGCCTGACAGCAAGTCTCACTTGGGCCATCCGGGTTCAAGAGTTTTCTATGGCTTTTTCTAGAAGTCACTTTAGGCTTTGTTTGTTGTGGTCCATGTTCTGGCTTGGGGTGCTGTTGAAGAAGTGTTTGAATAGGAGTGTTTCTATGACTCCGCTCACACTCCAGCCTGCAAAACTTGAAGAGGCCCAGAACGATCTTTGCTGGATTTGGGCAATGCTTGGACTCCTAATCTTTCTCTGCGCTAACACCCTAAGCTTGAAGGCATTCGACAGCTGCTTTGCATCAGCCGTGGGAGGGGGCTCCAACCTGGGAAGTTTCGCGCGACCGCAAACCGCTGTTTCCAGCCATACTCCACGGTTTAGGGTTTCAGGGCTTAGGGCAATTTAAAAGCCCTGAACCCCGAAATGCCGAATTTCCCCAGACAACTCCCCTTAAAAAGGGAGACCAAGGCGCCCTTTGATCCTTTGCCGCCCCCCTCCACTTTCAGGCTCGCTGCCTCCGAGGCTTTCGGCTCCGGGTTCGGCTTCCGGTTTCGGAGTCGGGTTTTAGGGTTTAGGGTTTAGGGCTTGGGGTTTTGTGCTTAGGGGTTAGAGTGCCTGGACTCGCTTTGGGTTTGGTTTGGAGCATAATTAATAAGGAGTCTAGGGTTTGGATTTGGTTTCGGATCTGGTTTAGGACTGGGTAAGAAAGACACCCCCGAGACATGAAGCTCACATCCTCCATCCTGAACCAAGAACTCTCTATTTAGGGTTTAGGGTTTAGCATCTTGAAAGGGCAGCGGGTGCAAGGCCTAGGGTCCGTTGACAATCATGCCCCTCATCCCACGTCTGAGCCTGCCAGCAGAAGCCTTGTTCTTGCCACCTTCCTCGAACCATCGGCGGCATCAGCTTTCTGAACGCTCAACCCTAAAACCCTGGACCCTAAACCCCTAAACCCGAAACCCCTAACCGCTAACGCCTAAACCCCTAAACCCTGAACCCTAAAGCTCTAAATTCCCTAAACCCCGAAAACGGCTTTTCGAGTCCCCTCCCTGGCCTTGGGCTCTGCATCCTTCAGGAGCTTGCACACAGCTTCCGCGGCGGCGAAACCGCTACTGGGCGTGACGGCCCATGAAAGGGAACCCTGACTGGCCCCTGTAAGGGTCCGATTTCTTGAAGGGTCCTGTTAACGTTCCTTGAAGGGCTCCTGTAAAGGAACACCTGTAGGCTTCGGGTTTCAGGATTTCTGTTGTTTGAGAGGCTTGGGATCAGGATCCTCAGCTTCTTATCGAAACTTGGGGCTGTCTGAGATCGCCTACTAGTTCATGGGTACTTCTTATGGGGGTTAT